AAAAAAAAATTTTTTTTTAAATTAGCTATGCGTGGTGGTGCTTGCCTACAGTCCTAGTTACTCAGAAAGCTGAGGCAGAGGATTGCTTTAGCCTAGGAATTCAAGGTTGCAGTAAGCTGTGATCAGATCATATCACTGCACTCTAGCCTGGCAGACAGTGCGAGACAGTCTCTTAAAAAAATAATTGGCGGCGTCTGTAGCTCAGTCAGCAGGGTGCCAGCCACATACACCTAGGGTGGTAGGTTTGAACCCAGCCCGGACCTGCTAAGCAACAATGACAATTGCAACCAAAATAGCTGGGTGTTGTGGCAGGCACCTGTAGTCCCAGCTACTTGGGAGGCTGAGGCAAGAGAATCGGTTAAGCCCAAGAGTTTGAGGTTGCTGTAAAGCCAAGGCACTTTACCCAGGGTGACAGTTTGAGACGCTGTCTCAAACAAACAAAAAAAAATAATAACAATTTTGCTTAAAAATAAATAGACTTTGGGTTTCCTCATGGGAGAACATTTTATAAAATGAATGAATTAGGTTTTCACAGCATTAATGATTAACTAAGGCAAGACCTTGCAAACTTTTATAAATCTTTTACAATTTCTAAATTTGGGTACAGAATCTTTGTTTCGAAGTTTAAAAAACCAGCTAAATATTTACAAATCTTGAAATATTTGGGGAAAAGTTAAATGAAGTTTCTGACTTTTCCAAAGCTAATTCCTCAGTTTACCAACCTGCTTACTTTAACCACCTTATAATGTATAGATGTTTCTGTTTTATACAAAACAAGTCAATGACCTTCTGGGTATATGAAAACACAGGCTTTGGAATCCTTTCAACACTTACTGGATTGGTGACCTAGTAGAAGCTGTTTAATTATTTTGAATCTGTTTACTTATTTATTCAAAGAGGAGAGTATCTTTTGAAATATATGTATAGGTACTATATCATGTTTCATAAAAATACAATTACTACTCAAACTTACAAAAGATTCATAACTTACATAAATGTAAAAAACATTCTCATAGCAAAAGTCATGGCACATTCAGGGAAAAAATTTATAACTCATACCAGAGTAAGCTAATGAATCTAACAATTAAAGGTTTCTATAAATCAATCAGAAAAGTAAGCAAAGGCTGGGAATGGTGGCCCATGCCCATAATCCTAACACTTTGGGAGGCAGATCAGGTAGATTGTCTAAGTTCATGAGTTCCAGGTCAGACTGAGCTAGAGAGAGACCCTGTCTCTAAAAAATAGGAGGGTGTTGTGGTAGGCACCTATAGTCCCAGCTATTTGGGAGGCTAAGGCAAGAGGATCACTTATGTCCAAGAATTTGAGGTTGCTGTGAGCTGTGACACCACAGAACTCTACTGAGGGCGAGTAAGCAAATAAAAAGATCAGATTTCTGACCAAAGATTTTTCCCTTAAGCATATGAAAAGGCAAACAATCTTACTCCTAGTGAAATGCAAATTATAACTATAACAACATGCATCTGCAATCCTAGCACTCTGGGAAGCTGAGGTAGGAGGATCACTTAAGCCTAGGAGTTTGAGGTTGCAGCGAGCCATGATAATGCCACTATATTCTAACCTGGGCAATGATACAGTGAGATTCTGTCTCAAAAACGAAAAACAAAAATCTACAGTGAGAACCTATTCCCACCTATCCTACTGTCAAGTAATAAAACATTTGAAAATAGAATGGCTTGG